CCAGTTTTCCATTTCATCACCGAGAAACTTCTGAACAGAATGCAGACAAACATTTCACATAAACGTTTCCTATTATGAAGAAAAGGATTACGATTCACCGTAATATCGATAGAGTAGACGGTAATCGTCCGGTAACGCATCCTTTATCGTGTCTCGAATTTCCGAGTTCTTGAAAAGCTGACCAAGTAAACGCAGTGAATGCGTTAGAAGTTCCTGAAAAGCGCTTTACTAATTCAATCGATTCATCGCACGGATCGATCAGTTATATCATATGTTGATCGTAGAATTATATGAACAGTTGACACCACTTAATTATAACTAATTGCACAATTACTCGAAAATCAGTTCGAATAAACAACGGATTAAGAATGATTCTATCGTTCCGTCCCGTTTTGGGCGCTTAACTGAGCGACACGATGCACCACAGCTTTCAACCAAACAGGCTTCGGAATGCCTTAATTTTAAGTGATATTTCATCAGTGCAATGAACTTCTGACGACAGCATATGAATCAGTTGATCACAACAACATATTTGAATAAAATCGCAAAGTTTTTCGTCCATTATCATCAACAAATCACAACACCTCTTCATGTCGTTCGCTATCCATTCTCAACATCGGAGCACTACTGTAGCCATTGGACGGTTGCAATCCAGTCGGGGCATTGAAACCACTTCTGCAAATAAAACTCATCAAATATTAGGAGTCGTTGAATATCCGAATCTTTACTATCCGAATCAAATGTACGATACAATTTTTCAGTTCATCCACAACAACAACAACTCTATGAGAACAAACCGTGATGTTGTGGCCATATCTTCCAAGTATGCAGTCGATGAAGCTGTACTCAAACGATCCTCATCATCCACAATCTGCTTTCCAGAATGCCATTCCTTAACAGAGTATCAGTTGTGCATACGTGCAGTTATCCAATAAGGATTCCTTTTCACAACGGAGCAAGATTGCTCCGAGTCATTGGAGATAATCTTCCGTAAATGGTGAAAATTTTCGTATATAGTCCCTGTTTTATGCCGACTGCGTCTATCAAGTTCCTCGGTGATTACTTAGTTGAAACACTTTCACAAAGCGAAAATAAACCAAAACTTGACAAACTTATCAAAACTCGCATCGAATATAACTTCACTACCGAACACGATCAAGCTACTGTTCTGTCTCTATGAATAACAAACACATCAAGCAGCCGTTGAACTATCAAACAATTAAGTTCACATCGTCAAGTTTTAAGGAACTGATTACTTGGGAAGATTCATCATCAGCAATTGGCACAGTGTCCCAACCATCAGGCCCTTGTACACCTCTCCTCCCCCTTACTGCATTCCCTCTTCCAAAACCACCCATCACGTTGTCGTCGTTAGTAAAAATACTTACGCTGTCAGAAACGAATCTATCGTCACTCTTTATTGCTGCGGTGGTCGATTCGGATTCAATCTGAAGCATTAAGAAACCAATAAAATTCAACAAATTTCTTGAAAATTAATTCTTCAATTAGTCGATAATCCAATCGATGGATAAATCTGTGCATTTGATGTCTTTAATCAAAAGCGATTGAAGCATAAAATGTGACTGAAATGTGCTCTATAGTAAGCATTTGAAATAGCATCATGTAATAAAAATGAGCATCTTGACAGTTTAGTCGTCATCGCACGCGTTTTAAGGGAACAGTCTGATGATTAACTCTCGATTAAGGGTTGAACTAACACGCAGTTTAAATTCATGCCAACCTCAAAACATCGACACGTAGAATGAACGTGCACAGTCTCAATGTGGTTAAAGATCGAGGTGGCCAATTTTCCGGTGTTGCCGGTTGGAAGAATTACTTTACAAATGAGAACAGC